CACAATCGGCACAATAAGAGTATGAGCTAAGACAATAAAAAACATGAAATTATGAACTAAGAAGCCACCCACCGATGACACTTATGTTTTTAAATTATTTGTTTTAACTTAATTATAATTGTAAAGAATATAATATTATATATAGGTATGTATCATATATTTCACTCAACACTCGCCTTAATATAGTTAAAATTAATCCACTAGTTGTATATAAAAATTCATTTATTACCTTTTCCGGCTATGTATCTCAGTAAAATATATGACATATGGTATAAAACTATAAATACAAATTATTATAAATTATATATTATTTTTTTGATTGGTTTTTTTGGTCAGGTAACTTGAATAATGTAAAAGAGACCTTTGGAATAAGGGATAATTTATTTATCTAAATCAGACTATAAATTTTAGAAGATTGTTATTGACAAAAAGTCATTTCATACATTCAATTAATTTTTTTTAAATATGCTTTTATTTYGTGTTTGGCTATACAGAAATAAATAAAAAAATAAATAATAAACTATTAATTTTTTTATAGCAGTTGTTAATGTCAATAAAATAATAATATTCAGTTTTGTAATTCTTTCCAAACATTTAAACGTTGCATAATTGTTCATCATCTTAATATTTTTACTAACAATCAATCAAAATGATGAGAAAATTAATAAAAAATGCGAGTGTTATTACAAAAAACTTAAGAACATTAAGCAATATGAACAGTCATAAAGATATTGAAAAAATTAAATCTGAAAATGAAATTAAGAAGATTGTTTTTGACAAAAGAGAAGAATATATACAATTAATGATGACTCAGTCAACTGAATGTATTGATTTATGTAATGAAATCAATAAGTTGGAATCCAAACTAAGAGCGTCATATGGGTTCAGTAAGGATGAAGATTTAACACGTTTTCCAGTAATCAAATTTGAAGAGCCAAAAATAGAGCATCCGCTTGATTAGACAAAAAAGACTGGAAAGTTAAATGAACATTTATATATTTTTGATA